GGCAAAGTATTGTGTAAAGTGAGAGACGAAGCTTGCTTCAGACTCATTTTCATTATCCCAGAATTTCAACAGTCTTTTAACTCCATCATACCAGTTAGCGGCAATGCCTTGCAAATACCCAGAGGCTATCTTGGTTTTTTTCGGAAGTCCAATTATTTACATCAGCTGCTCGATCAAACAGTTTGACCTATTCAAGAAGATCCTCTTCCTCAGTACTAATTGGATCAGGCACAAAAATCTCAGGAACATCAAAAAATAGTTCTATACATATTAAGTTAGTCTTATAAACAGGCCTCTTGGGTGGTAGCAGCTCTAGCAGTGGTGTCTCTGAATATATTGGCTATTTCTTTAAAACTGCTTGAAGAGCATCCTGGTTCTGATACAGGTTCGGATTTTTATTATTTCTACCATTATTTTTTTAAGATATATGGGGTAATCATTGATAGGAGTTCTACTTTTATCACTATATTCTAATCATTGGTCTTTATTATTCTCTTGGTTGGAAAGTGGGTCATCATTGTTAACTTGGTGAACATTGTGTTGGTCTATAGTACCTTTTTAATATTTTTAACTAACAACCCTTACAATGCTGCCTATACTCCATTTATTGACCAATTTCCTATTGAGATTCCCATTTGACGCTCCATTCATACTATTTGTTAAGCTCATATCATAATACTTTGAACATCCCAACACTCCTCACAAGCGCAACTCCTCTTACTCTCCTCTCTGTCACCAATGCAATCAAACTAGCTCTTCACTACACTGGACTCTTTGTCTTTCTACTCAAACAATTTATCACTTAATCTCAAATTCTCTTAATTGCATCTTAAATGCTACTGCTCTTGACATATCTTCCAACCTTGTTTCTAATTTATATCAAGAAATTCTTACACTTAATTGCTTTAAACTGCATAACTCTTTACACATACCATCTTTCATTTTCACTCTATTTGGTTTAGTTCCTACTGATCTTATTTCTACTATTCACAATACTTCTATTTCATACCATATAGCTACTTCTCTTTCTATCAAATTTTTTCTCCATTTAAACCAACAAATATACAAACAAATATAGATTCTATACTGTATTTCATGTTCTGCACAGTCTCAAAACTCATTTACTACAAATTTAACTCATAGTTCTTCTTCTAGTCTATTTTCTATCTTAGTACCACAAATGATTACCAAAATTGATCTTTGGACTACCCAATGGATTAAATATCATACTCCTCTCTCTCATATTATTACTAATATCCAAATCTAGGTAAGCCTTGGCCACTCTTGTAGGTTTAGGTCGCAGATTATATGTCTGAGTCTTTATTCTTCATATATAATTTAAAAGCAAGCTTTTTTTGTAAAAACTTCAATTGAATTTCAATAAAGTTAAAGGCATGGCCTCACCGTTAATATTTAAAAAAAAAAAATAATGAATATAAGAAAAAAAAAGAACAAAACAAAACCTTTTTTGACGAGAAAGATTATATATAACAGTATATATAACTCTTATACTATATAGAGATAAATCAAATAATTAAAACTAATCTAAATTTATTATTAGGCCTATATGGCTATCAGCTATTTTTGAATAAAAAAATAGCATTCCTTCACTATCAAAAAATAATTTCTATATTCTACCATCATATATATCTGATAATTAGATTTTGAAGAGTCGATAGACCTATTTCCTACAAGCCTGATCTTTGAAACAACTCAGCGAACAATTTTTTATATTTATTTTAGAATAAAGAGCTATTGGCTTTCTGACTATACTATTTTTTATCTGCCTTTCTTAGAAAGTATTGTATTGTATAGTACTCTTTTGCTGATATTAATATGGTTTGAAAATTCTATATGAGTATAGCGAAGTATTTTCAGAGTTTGTTTGCTTTAGTTGTTAATAAGTTTTTTATAGAGAGCTACTATTTCCATCATGGTATTTTGCTATTTCCACCATGTTATACAAAAATTACTATTTTTAGTACTTACTACAGTCCGGGATATTTCCAAATTTGATATATGAAGATCACTCCTTTTTTAGTAACAGATCTGCAAGAAGATGATTCTAAATACTCCAACGAGGCTGAATTTGTACCAATCAACATTTGTGTATTTTATTGTGAGACAACTATATTTTTAAGCCCTGTGGATCCCTGTAGATCTCTAAACTGCATGCTTCACCAAGGTTTTCTATACTAATTATTTTGAAATTTTTTGTTATGTGA